TAATAATACCAGTGCTTGGCACTTAACGCTTATAAGCAAGTGTAGTGCACTTAATGCTTTAGCGTGAGTGCGATGCACTATATGCTCAAAAAGCGAGTGTCGTAACACAAGGATGCTTATAAGGCGTGTGTGCAATGCAGGGGTGCTCAAAGAGCAAGTGTTAAGAACACAGGAGTGCTCAAAGAGCAAGTGTTAAGAACACAGGAGCTTTAGACGCAAATGCAAGCGCTTATTGCGAGGCAAGCAAAATGAGAAGAAAATGAAATCAGTGCCTCCAATTAAGTGCGAAAATTCGTGGGTACGTCGGGTCCCACGGATTGGTGGGGGAGAGTGTAACGGGGTTACACGAAGGTGTGTATTTGACATACATACCTGCCACACCAATGTGGTGTGGCTGTACCTTGGGTACAAAGTAGGTGATGTGACCGTACCTGAAGTACGAAGGGTCACATCGTGGCAGAGAGCCACGTGGTCACTATACTTAGTTAAAGTATAGTGACTAGCATATTTGCATAATAATAAAAGGCTAAAGAGCCAGTAATAGTGAGTGACTAGCACTAAGTATAGGATAGGTGCTTCTATATTTAGTGTTAGAAGATAAACATAAATATAAATCAGTTTTAAACCTGCTCTGTATAGCACTAGTTGCTAGAGCGTTCTATTCCGTATAGGAATTGTATCTTTGATACTAGTCTCTTTGAGACGCGGTTACAACAACCGATAGGCACAAGCTTACGAGCTAGCCTGGGAGGGTTAAGCACCCTAAGACGTAGAAGCTCTCTGAGCATGTCTTCCTCTGCACATAGTGCATACGTAGCTTTGCTACAGTAGTCAGACTACTTCTGCACATAGTGCATAAGTAGCGTAGCTAAAGTAGCTCGGCTACACCGACTGTCTTCCGTCACTGTCACGGTCGCACCATCACTGCTTTCACATTCTTCCGTGTATGATCTCTCAATTTCTTCTTTGCTCTTTCAAGTAATTTGTTACCCCGTTCGATTGACTACCGCAAGCGAAGAAAGAATGAAGGCAGGAGCACATCATAATTTTAAACGGCTGCAAATCATTGTCTTGCTGTTCGGACGTACCAACTTCAAGCCAGTGTTTGACCCTCTAGATCTCAAAATACCTCACCCATGGATGCTGCATTCAATTTTGCCATACCGATGTTAATGAGTCTTGACTACTTCATGTGAGCTGCACTTAAGCCACTGTGGCAAAAAGTGGAACATCTGTGTGATTCAGTCAGTACCCAACTACCTCCTATACAGGAATTTGCAATAGAAAGATGGTTAAAAATAGATAATTGTTTTGGAAGCGTGCTACTACAATTCCATACCCCATATCAACGACATCACGAGTCCTTCAAGTAACAGTCCTCGTGAACGCCATTTGAGGACGCTATTCTTGATATCTTTTACTAAGGCTGGTTTCAATACATTATAAAGACTTGCTCCCGACATTGATGGTTTTGATTATTGCCACGAAACTGTACAATGGACGGAAAACATTGGTGTACGGATCAAGACAAAAGCAATTCTGACGAATAAACTATACAAAGAATAAATGACAACGACGAAAACGAATTAAGAACGATATATGAAATGCCAATTTTTATATATTGCAATGTCCTTAATGGGGCAAATACAAACAACACCATTCTCAACTACGTATACCAATGGGTTATTCTCTGGCATGACGGTTGAAGTGCTGTCACATAAATGAAACTCACAGTGACCATCGGCAATTTCCTTTAGGAGCTTACGAGTTGATAAAGGAAACACTTAAGATCATTTACTTCAAACGACAACGAGAATTGCTTAGTTAGCGGATGCACCAGTGTAGCCGAGCTACTGTAGCAAAGCTACGTATGCACTATGTGCAGAGGAAGACAAGCTCTGAGTGCTGCTACGTCTTAGGGTGCTTAACCCTCCCAAGCTAGCTCGTAAGCTTGTGCCTATCGGTTGTTGTAACCGCGTCTCAAAGAGACTAGTATCAAAGATACAATTCCTATACGGAATAGAACGCTCTAGCAACTAGTGCTATACAGAGCAGGTTTAAAACTGATTTATATTTATGTTTATCTTCTAACACTAAATATAGAAGCACCTATCCTATACTTAGTGCTAGTCACTCACTATTACTGGCTCTTTAGCCTTTTATTATTATGCAAATATGCTAGTCACTATACTTTAACTAAGTATAGCGACCACGTGGCTCTCTGCCACGATGTGACCTTTTCAGGTACGGACGGTCACATCACCTACTTTGTACCCAAGGTACAGCCACACCACATTGGTGTGGCAGATATGTATGTAAAATACACACCTTCGTCTAACCCCGTTACAGCATTCGTTTAACGATCACCATTATATTTGTTGACAAAAAACGAATTAAGAAGGGACATGAAATGAGACCCTTTCTTTTATTGCAACTTACTTAATGGGACATATACATTTCACCATTGCCAACTGAGTTACATCAATGGCCAGACTTTGGCAAGTCAGCTGAAGGCGGTCAAGAATATAACATGACTAGCAGCATTTTTCGTAATTTGTAAAATTGGAAGAGATAATCGTCATTTGGATTAAAGGAAGGAGCAGGTCCCTACCCCTCCCCAGTGAACAGTCTGCGGATATTCGGCGCAACGCCCGATTCAGTAATCGCGTTGTTGGGCCCACGGAGTCCACTGGTGTGGCCATGAAAAGCGAACGCTACTACGACGGAAAGGTACAAAGTGAGACGCATCTTCAGTGCTGGTTCTTAAAATCAAAGAACGCGGTCTATAAAGGTTTTCTCCTTTGCTGCGTTTGAATGCGGCAAATTGGAAAGTGAGAATTCGAACGAAGTGTTTTATGATAAGTTTGCGTTATTCCTTACCCGAAATTGCATCAGTCCACAAACGTTTATGTCATTCTACAAATGATTATGTCATTCTATGAACGTCTTTGTCCTTCCACGGAATCACGTATTCTCCGACCAAAGATTCGGCACCACTAAATGTATACTGAAATTACGAATAAAATAACAATCATGGACTTTCTAACGCCGCCGGCACTTCCAACAAGTATACATAATACAAGCTTAAATTATGTCTGATAGCTGGTTGGTTAGCGCAATGATAACCAAGCACTCGCGTGGCGTGTCCATAATTCTAAAGAACAATCTAGGAAATGGCAAGTGAACCCACGGTGCTAGATGAGTTTAGTTACAGCGCTTTTCGTGTGATGTAGTTATTAGAGGCCTTTGTTTTTACCATTTATTAACAGATCAATGAACCAATATATTTTTATCAATAGTCAAATACGACTTAGCATGTAAGTGCACTACATTATAAACATACCAACAGTGCTACCCGGGATATGAATCTCATGAATCTGAGCTGTATCCTATAGATAGTTGCCAACACTTTCTAACTTATACGTGCCGAATATAGAAGACGAGGATGCACTAGTTATAGTGATGCACTTAGTATAGTGACTGAGTACCATCAATATTGCTTTTTTTACTGAATGCCAATCTCAAAAGGATGATGGCGCTCGTGCGTAATCAATCATGTTGCACTTGTGGTACTGTAAACATCATGTTTGGTGGATACGGATTTAAAAGATAATGTATACGATCCCCGCCGAAACCGGTTCAGCCATTGAGGTCCTCTTGGATTCATCGCCTAAGCGGAGTAATCGGGCGCTAGAGGCATACGACGAAGCTTCTAGCTTAAGGGACCAAGTAAGCTGAGTACTACAACACTTCAAGGATGAAATAGACGGGATCACGCACCTTCTCAGTGCCAAGGTCGCACTGCCTACACTAGTGCACCAATGTCTACTCCGACGAGTATCGTTCTTGCCGCGTCTTAAGAGAAGGCTCGTATGACGCAGCATGGCGAATATTTTAGCAATGGTTTCTCACTGAAGACCCGCCCTTTTCACGCCTATACACTCGTCGATATATTCGTCGACTGCATCTCGTCCCCGCTGAGTGTCCAACTCGCGGCTAAACACGACGATAAAAGCACGCCATAAGAGATTCTCGTATTAGTCGGATCAATACACCGAGGCGGGGATCATGTGGATGACGATAAGGATATGCTCAAACAGCGGGCGGATCAATGCCATACCACGGGACTCGAGAAAATCATTAACCGTTGCGCTATCGATTACGAGTTGAAGACATAACTTGCGCCTCCTCCTTGGCAACTTAACGAGGTCCAGCTTTAACTTATTTCGCATTTTGCGACGGCTAGAAGTGACACCGTTTGGCTGCAAGCTGGTGGGAACATGATATAGCGGAGCTCTCGATCCGGCATATGGTGATCGATGGCGAACAAATTCATGACGTTATGGTGACGCTGGGGTCTCTACGGGGGAAAGTACTGTTAGTCTACGTGAAGTGGAACATGAAGAAGTTCAGGTCATAGGAGCTTCAGAAATTCACGTGACAGACTCGGACGAGTGTATGCGACTACGTTGTGTTGTAGGACGGGCAGTACGCTCATGAACGTCTACTCGCGTTGCCTCCTTGCCATTTTACCGTTACTTTGGTGCAGCAGGTAGATGTTCATGCTAAGGGTAAGGAAGAAGGAGACTACGAAACGAGAAACTCGTACTTTAATTTTATGGATCTTGCCGACTCAGAACAAGAAAAGAGGACGCAAGCAGATTGCAGATACGTATAAAAGAAGGCAATGATATCAACAAGGGCCTTTTTCTTTTGACTAATGTAACCAGTACATTGAGAGATACCAAGCAGCAAGGCAAGGTATACGTTCCGTGTTGTGACTCCAAGCTAACTCGTATGCTTCAAGACTCTCTTGGTGGAAACAGTAGAACGTTAATGCTTACGTGTGTAAGCCTCTGCTGATGTGAACTTTGAAGAGACGCTAAATGCGCTCAAGTATGCGAACCAAGCGAGGAACATTCAGAACAAGCCTGTGGTCAGCCGCGATAAAGGATCAGCCGTGACTATGGAATTGCCCTCGTCAGGTCGAAACGCTACAAATGAAAGTACAAAGCCTGCGCAATCCGAAGCTTTCGGAAAGCGAACTGAAGATGGAAACGGTGAGGCCCAATTGGATGGGGATCAACTTTATCAGCGACTTTGATTTAAAAATCTCTGAATGCGAGCTGAGAAATGCTGCCAATGAGGTGGCGCGACTGATAGCTGAGCTGAAGCGTTGCAAAACTCGCCTTGATCACTTGAAGAAGGAGATGATCGCAGCACAAGCAGAGCGCGACTACCTGGGGCTATAGTATGGAACGAAGAAGAAGGCACAGGTAGAAGCTCCATGTCAGTGAAAGACCCACGGACAGTCACGGATCAATCGTAATAACCTCTATGTTTTAATATTTGAGTCCATTGCAAGTCACATGACAACCAACCACTAGTACATTAAGGGTCGTTTATGATAACGTCATACCTCTTACCATTCATTCATTAGCAGCTATGCGTCAATCCCCACGTGGTCGTAATGAATGCAACAACAATTGGCAGCGTTCTCAGCACCCACAGCATGATATTTCTCCTTTGCCGTCTCAATCCAAGCATCAAGTCCAAAGCTTTAATCCCCACCATCCTCAGTCGTCATTTCACCAGTCAAGAACGACTTGTAATGTCACTCATATGCAACGAGATGTTGTGGCCTTTGTAGAGACGTTTCGAGCTCATCAGTCAAATCTTACAGCACCACCAAATGCACTGACACTTGATATCGTCGTGCAAGCCATTTGTCATCATTTCCGTACGTGTCATCGCTAGCATGGCTATATTTTGAGATCCTAATTGCTTTATTCCATTGATGTATGTATGTATGTATCATAGGTGTTAATGCATTTGAAGAGTTAATGGACATCCGTGCATTGCAATTGCCAATACTAAAACAGCTACATACTGTAAACCAACGGGTGTGGACATTTGTCACATGTTTTATACAAAGTCGTCGTATTCATACGCTCTTTGAGTGCCAACAAGCTTTTTTACAACATGAAGGGCTACGGTCTTTCCACGAACTCAAGATTGGTAACTCCTTTCTTCACACTGAAGCAATACAACATCTTTATTGCTCGCCCGTGACTGTGATGAATATTACGACGAGAGAAGTACTATGTTGTTTACGCCAATTTGGAGACATGATGGTGCAAGACGCGTTTCGAGCATCGTCACACATTAATTTACACGAGTTTGTGCAGTTTCTAGCTCAACAGTATCGACAGCCAAGTGCACAAGCAATGGGAGTGATGATTGACCCGTCCGGATTTGGTCTTTATGTGGGCATGCTGCGTCGTATCGCCAATCATGAAATGAAGGAGATGAAGACATTGGAGCAACAGTTTCAGCGCGAAGTTGCTGAAAAGATGTTCCGACTTACTAAGGAAAAGTTCAGCGACGAGAATCGTAAACAGGCATTAGACGAGCTGCTTCAGCAAACCAATGCACGCTCGAGTAAGAATGAGGACGATGAAGATTCGCAAAAAAGACGTAGAGGCAAGAAAAGTAGCACGCAATCGCTATCGTTAGACATGCTCAAGCGCGTCACTGATATTGACGTGTATCTCGACAACGTGCTGCGTCGTAAAGCTGCTGTGAACGCAAAAAATCAACACGAGCTGAACAAATCCATTTCATCGCAAGAGATTGCAGAGACCGATTCGAAGCTTCGCAATCAGTTGACACGATTTCTAGTGTCATCGCAAAAGAGCAGGCATCACTCGAGGCTCAAGGTAGTTACTTGGGTGATCTGCAGTATCATGGCAAAGACGTATGCTTTGCTACTAAGCGATGACAAGCTTCCCGATGATGACGGCTTGAACAGCGAGAACTTGGAGACTGTTCATAAACTAGCTGAAAGTGATATGGAAGAATGCGATTGTTGCTGTGTAGGTAAGAACTCTTGCACCTGTTCTTGCACATGCAAGTGCCATGTGGAATCGAGTGACGAAGAAGACGAGGATAGTGATCATCAAGACAAGGCAGCTGACGTAGACGTAAATACTAATACTTTAGACAGCGCGGACACATTTCCTGTGATGCCGACAGACCCATTCGCCAGCAGGCTTGGAAAAGTCACCCCAGAAGTGAATGTGACTCTTGAAGAAGTGACAACCGAGATTGAGAGCTTTTTGAGCTCTCAACAGTTACGTATCAATCAGCCGGTGACTTTGAACGACGTGCTATTGGTTTTGACGTCTCTCGAAAATCACTTGCTTGGCAAGTTTTCAGTCAAGAGCAGCATTGTTTCTTGGGCCGGACGACGATCTGTTCTAGAACTGTTGTCCCATCTCACGAGCGATAATGAGGACGAAAACGACGAAAATGAAACCAGTATAGGCAGATTGTTGTTTGGCCTTGTGAGTTCTTCAGATCGAGTTGATAACGACGCAAGTTCGTCGAAAGCGGTGAGCGAGAAATGCATGCAAGAAGAAGTGATGTCATTTGTTCGAGAGTGCCGTGCTGCCATCTCTTTGTCTTCTGCATTGTCTTCATTTCCTACTGAAAAGCAGCAGCAATGGATAGTACATCGCGTCCTCGTGCAGCTTGGTTGTACTCGCACTGAAGAGCTTGGGCTTCCGAGTGTTGAAGAACTGGTTGAACTGGTGGATCAGAAGCCTCAAGAAGAAGAGACTTTGGTGATTAAGTACGCCGGTAGTTTGGACCTTAACCAGGGTCATGGCTGCTTCGACAACGCAGTCGCGCGGGTAGGAGCAACAGGTGAGTCTATACAGATTATTTTGACGGAGCAAGCGATCCAAAAATTGCGCAAATGCCCGTACTTGTGTGATGTATCGCTGTATATGGATTGGCAAGAGCGGTATGCACCGATATGTGGGTCATTGCTCTCGTTTATTCGAGTGCATGAAATGATTTTACTTGATCATGCACCGTCAAACAACTTTATGTTTGTGTGCTGTTTGAATGGAACGATTTTGCGTGTCAATGAGAAATCAACACCATCTAATCTTGAATTGTTGACTGCACGAGCTGAGCAAGAGCAACGTCTTGTTGCCGCCAGCCAAGTGGCAATTCATTTAGTGTCAATGATGGTGACGTGCAAGACCCAGGCAAATTTCCCAAAGCAACTCGTTCAAGCTCATTTGCGCGCACATTTGTCAAGCTTTGCCAAGGACCGGATGGTTGACAGCTACCGGGCACGCTTTGTTTTGGAGGTGCTTATGGAAACGCCGGTCGAGTTTGCAGACTTCATAATGTCATTACTATTAGATGTTATCGCACAGGATCTTGTTTCGGGTGTCTCGAATGATTGGGGCATTGCAGATCAGGTCTGGAAGGCTTGCCGAAATGATGTTGAAAGAAAAACGCTTGTGTTTATTTCGAATCGAAGCTTGTCGCCGTTGTGGGCAAGCCAAGTCGAGCAGTGGCGAACTGTGCGTGAAAACCTGACCGTTGCAATCATGGGCGATGCTGCTGGTAGTGCTAACGGTGACGGCAGCGATGTGCCTGAGACAAAGTCTGCACCTCTCACTGATGCAAGCAAGAGCCATGACAAAGACAATAAAATGGTACGCAGTCTTTTGGACCTTTCTGATCCTGCAGCAAGCTTTTCTAACGAGCTGCTTGACCAAGATAGTGAAGATTGTCCGGCAACTGAGCGTCTGGCTAGCGCTAGTTCGTGTCAGTCGTTTATCGAAGATTTACGTAAAAAGCAGTTTGGTGTTGGACTGCAAAGCCTTGACGAGGCAACAACGTCAGTGCTACTAATCCAGCAGAAGCGGCTAGAGCGTGCACTCAAGCGGCTTAGTGACGAGCTTTATAGCGAAAGCACACACTTTGTTCTCGAGCTGCTGCAGAACGCAGATGACAACGCTTATGACGATGATGTGGTTCCACTTGGTGACTTTTCGTTGACGGTCGACAAGAACATTGTGTTTTACAACAATGAACGGGGCTTTTCACCAGAAAATATTCAAGCAATTTGTGATGTGGGTGCATCTACGAAGGCGGCAGTTAATTCGGAGGCAAGTATCGGCAAAAAGGGCATTGGCTTCAAGAGCGTATTCAAGGTATCCGACAACCCACAGGTGCATTCAAACGGATTTCACATTTGTTTTCACGCTAAGAATTCCCAGCATGTAAATGGTATGGGGTATATCTTGCCGTATTGGCTGAATGATACCACTCAATGGAAGAAGCGTCGTGGCACAACATTTGTGCTGCCGTTGAACGAAGCATCAATGCATAGAGTGGATGACATCTCGCAGTCACTCCTGGCGTTCGAGCCGTCTGTATTGCTCTTTCTTCGACGTATTCGCGAGCTTAGGCTTCGCGATTTGGCTCGGCAGCACACGGTTCATTTCCTCAAGAAAGAAAAAAAGTTGCAATCAAAGACGCATATAGTTCAGCTGCTGTCACAAGTAAGAAAAAACGAGAATGACGTGGATGTGGTGCAGCAAAACTGGCTGGTCGTGAAGCAAACCCTAGAAACCCCGCCGTTATTCAGTCGTAGTCATTCAACCGAGATCGCGCTTGCGCTTCCTATTGCAGCTCAGCCAAAGGATTTTTGCAATCGCGCCGACCGACCACCACTTCAGCAGGTTTTTGCATACTTACCACTGCGGTCTTACGGCTTCCGATTTATTCTACAAGGAGACTTTGACATTCCGAGTTCAAGAGAAGCAATCATCAATGGAAGTGAGTGGAATGAGTGGCTTGTATCCAAGGTCCCAACGCTTGTACGCGCAGGTGTGAGCAGCTACATCTCAACTGTCGAAAGAGATGAACTGAGCGACATTAAATCAAACGGCGAAAATGTGGTTGCTGCGATTTTGCACTTGATTTCGTTGCTGCCTCTTGAAAACGAGGTGCAAACTCCTTTTCGTAGCATAATTCCGGAAATCATGCGTGAGCTTCGTCAAGTAAAATGGCTAGCAGGCGCTTCCTCCACGCCATCTCCATCAGTGGGAGAACTGCTTATGCCATCAGAAGTAATCGATTGTGCGGAGCTGACAGGAAACGAAGTCAGTAAAAACATGACGACAATGTTGGGAGCTCTTAGCGACAATATCATGATGTCAACGCTCAACAAGCGCTTACTGCATCCTGCATTGTCTCGAGACATGTCGTCATCGATGAAACGCCAGCTGCGGATTGAGCAGCTTCACTCGTCACATTTGATGCGAGTTGTATCGCTATCGGCGGAAATGAATGATATCGACTGGACGGTAAAGATACTAGCACTTCTTGCAAAGCTTTGGCGAAAGGACCACAATTCTCGATTACTTCGACAGGAACTGCGGTTGATTAAGTGCTTCCCGCTTCAGCAAAAGGACAGCATGGACGGTAACATTAGGTGGGTATCACTAGCCGAGAGTCATGACTCATTGTTTATGTCTGATGTCCATGCGGGTAGCACCATTCCCAGTCGTGGAGATTCGTACAAATTTTACGGCGATATTCGCATCCTGGATGACAGATTCATGAAGGCTGTTTCCAAAAGCACGAAGCTACGCACATTTCTGACGAATGATGTGGGGGGCGTTCACATGATTCAGGACCACGAATTGATTCGACACTATATTATTCCGAAGATGACAATCTTGCGTTTGCTTACTCATAATATGAACGATTGTGATACTGGAAAGCTAGACGTCAAGGTGGTGATTGAATACGGGCAGTTTTTATCGTCTCATCTGGCTTCTTGCTCTAATTGTCCAATGTACATGGACGTGAAAGCGAACATGGTTGTTGCAGCAACCAGTGGTCGCGTTTTCGTGGGCGGCATGTCTAACTTGTTCGTGATCCTACCATCCACGTTCAACGAGTTATCTCATCTAGCTTCGTGGATTACAGAGAAAGCTGAGGCTTCAAAGACAGGTAAAGACACGTATGGTGTTGTGTCAGGCGAATATTTCTCCGATAACCGTAGCAAGATTGAGACGTTTCGTAAGATGGATGCTGTGGATAAACAATGGCAGAAGTTGCTGGTGGATGTTTGCGATTTGCCTCTGCTGTTTGACACGGCAAGCCTTATGTCAGATCCACGTTCGCAAGCTGGAATGAAGCAGATTTTCAAATGGATCGAAGCCGAGGATGATATGGCAGTGAAGCGCAGTATTTCCAAGCAGTTGGCAGAGCACTTGGACAAATACTGGAGACCAGAAGAAAGTAATCTCAACCCCAACAACGTCAGTTCGACTATTTCCACTAACAGTGAGGGCGATATTTTTGACTGGTGGCGTCAAAACTACTGGCTGGAAGGATCTGATGGAGAATTTTACCGCTCGGTTGATCTATATCTGTCGACCGGAACGAGCAGGCGCTTGTTCACACCGACCATGGTTACGTTCGCCTCAACGGCGTGGAAGAACAAAGACTTCTCCGAAAGAGTTCTTGGTATGAAAGCGGACGCAAATGTTTCTGATGTGCTTTCAGCTATCTCGAGTCTTTGTGTTGACTCAACCTCGGTATCTGCGCTTGAAATTGACCAAATGGTTCGAATGTACACGTTCTTATGGGAGCAAAGTCAACACTCTGATGCTTGTCGTGACAAAATTACGGAAACCTTTTCGCGCAAAATGATGCTGTTTGTTCCGGCCGAGGCAAATTCGTCAGGAAAGAAAAATCGGAATCGATTTACACATATAAAGAATGCCGTATGGTCATCCACAGCGTACAACGGAGAGCTTTTTGCGCTCGAAACCCATTATCCAACGGCACTGTCCACTTTTTTCATTAAGGTGTGCGGTGTAGAGAAGAAGCCATCAGTCTCATCCTTGTGTGGAATGATCACCGGGCAAGTATCCTTCTTGACCAATGATGGTAGAAGCAAACGGTGCGGATCCGAGAAGACCAAGTTGTGGGAAATGCAGCTACTACCACTGCTGTGTGCACTATCCAAGAAAGTGAAAAAGCGCTTGCTGTCGAAGAAAGAGACTAAGATGATTAAGAGGACCTTGAAATCAGTTTCCTGGCTGCCAGTCCGATGCGTGAATGGGTCTGGCAATGGTCTACTATTTTGTAAAATAGCAGAACAGCCTGTACTAGCGACGACGGAGATCGAAAAGAAGCTGCAGAAGTTGATGCTGTCTCTTGGTAAGAACGTTATCGCAGACCTTGATGTCAGTCTGAGCGAAGGCAAAAACTTGAAGAATGAAGATATTAGAATAATTCAGCTCGAAGCTTTGTCGGACGATGGAGATCTGGAGGCACTTCTCAGTTTCGCAAAAGTATCGACAATATCTGCCCACATCGAGTCCCATCCAAGCTCCTGGTGTAGGGCGTTTGCTCGTTTCACAAAGTCTTGCCAGCTTGACAGCAAAAGGGGTAGGAAAAAATTGCTGAAGCTTGGACAGCTTTTGGTAAAAGCTTGGGCTAATGTATTTTCCTCGCCTTCATCATCGGTTGGCGAAGAGGAGATCCGGTGGAGTGTGCAACATTTGAACCTTTTCCCAACGATTGATGAGAATAATCGATGGGTGTCCGCTACAAATCTCTACATCAATGACCAAGCCGAGTTGTCAAAGCAAGATCTACAACAATCAGGGCAGTTGAAAGTACTTGGATTGTTTTCGTGGGATTACTTCGTGGACATTCGTGCTAGTGAAAGCAGAAGCAGCGAGATGGTTCGAGTACGCAAGTTTCTCATCGAGTTTTGTGGTATGAAGTCGCTCAAAGAACACTTACAGTACGAAGTTACTGTCCTCAGCACGCAGCACCTTGCGAGTACGGCCTTTCATGATAAGATTCGCACTGCATTGTCTCTGGCCCAGCGATTCCTTTTCCACAGCTACCGGCATCTGTATGACCAACTTCATCATGGCTCGATAGCAAAGCTGGCGTCAGAGCTTCAATGCGTTTTAGTTGATGGTCACGATGGATTTCAAGTGGTCTATCGAATTGGAAATTTGTGCAGTCTTCGCCGTGGAGTTAATGCATTGTCACGTTGCTTCCTTGACGTCCCGAAAAACATCATGTACATGCAATCTTTGACGGGAGATGAAGAAGCGAGTGTACTCTCTGTGGTGTTGATGGAACTATCCCGTAAACTTTTTGGTGCTCGAGTGGCTTCTAGCGTTGCGAACCTGCTGTATCTTAGCTTGTTGCAACCTGATTCTCTATCGAGAGAGCAGTGGCTAGTAGAGACTCAGCTTTTGCCTCCATATTCTGCCAGTGACGCTGGAAGCTTGTGGGTGGAGCAACTTACCACAACGTCATCTATTGCTAACAATGTAAGTCGCAAGCGAACGTCGAAGGACTTTGAAGATGGCGAGATTGCTGCAGAGGATGGTCCAGTGAAGAAACATTATGTTTCACTGGGGAATGACAAAACACATGATACTTCGTTACCTTCGTTCGCACCTTTAGCAAACTATGACACAGCTGGAAATGGGGGAAGCTATGGTATGCAAATGCAGAGACCTCTGTACCCACCCCTTCCACCAGCAAACGGAAATACTGACGGAACTCCATATTGCCCGACACTAACTGCTTCATCATCTCTTAGCACAGGGATGCAATCTCTGTTACTGCCGAACACGATGTCGAAAGAGGAACGAGAGGCTATCGGTCGCTGGGGTGAGGAGTATGTGTATAACCAACTAAAGCAGCAGCACGCTGACAATGACTCAAACCTAACTGTTGAGTGGGTAAACGAAAAGGAGGAATCCGGTCTCCCATACGACCTCACACTCTCCTCAGGAAATAAAGTCGTTGAGTATATTGAGGTGAAGTCCACGCGCACCACGGAAAAGGGCGTGTTCGAAATTAGTATGAACGAGCTGGACCAGGCAGCAATCCACGGCTCGACATACTGTATTTATCGCGTGTTTAACGCCGGCAACTCTGCGTTGTGCCGAGTCATTCGCATGAAGAACCCTGTATCGCTGGTGCGCCAACGCAAAATTCAGCTAGCTCTCGTCATGCAGTAAGTTTCTTGGAAAATAGTGAGCAGTAGCATATCTAAAACTAAAAAATTGTTTCAACCATTATCGTGTCAGTAAAACCGTTAGTGCAGGTCGTTAATGAGCTGTAATACATCAGCTGTGCAATTTGCTGCTTATTCCAGTGTATCCATGCCGCTAGCGCCATCAGTGATTAGTCGCTCGTCACCTTGCTGATTGTGCATGTTAATTCTCGAGCGTCGGTCTTTATCGTTCTGCAAGCGAGATTGAAATTTGGTGCTTGTGACGAGTTCAGTATCCATGTCGCGTAGCTGCGACGCAACTGTCACAAGTTTCTTCATCTCGTCCTGCAACCTTTTCGACGCTTCGCTTTGTGCTTCGTCTTGGCAAGCGCTGCCATCTTCATTCTTGTGCACAAAACGCACCATGGCTTTCTGCTTATCAATCACAGCATCCATCTGACCATTGGATATAAGAGCCAACAGCATCTTTTCAGCAGTTACTGCATCGCTGTTAGACATTCCCGCAGCCATTGCGATCTTCGTAAGCTCAATTGTTGCGTAAGTGCGAGTCAATCGGAGAAGTTTTCGCTGTTTGAACGCCTGAACGACCTGCTTCACGAGACCAAAGTTACCGTCCTGAATAAACAGCTCTTCATTCTTGGCAACGACATCCTGCACCACTGCAAAGTCCTTTTCAATGACAAAAGCGTTGGCTAGGTCAACATATGCTGTGCAGTGGTTTGCAACATTTCGCGTGACCACGAAGGGAGTGTACTTGGGTACTACCACTGCATCACCGTGTAGAATGAGTGTCACGAGCAACAGCTTCTTGTATGCTTCGATTACAAAAGCACTCAGTGACACGGCAGGAGCTGTAATGGCAAGCTGGAAGAAGTCAAGCGCATCCTGATACCGCTTTTCTCCCAAATATAGCAGTCCTCCATAGTATGCATAGCCCAAGAAGTCGACACAGGTAACAACATGCGATTGAGCGTGGATTTCTACCAAGTTTCTATCAAGAACCACCAGAAGAAAAGAAAACACAACACACACAGACACAAAATCAATACCAATACAATCATCTCTCCAACCTCTTCTACAGACTTTTCATCAGTATAAATATAAATCTCCTACTTGTCTAAAATGTCCATTGCTGCAAAGTAGCACTTGGCATGGAGACATAAATAGAAAAAGTGAGCGTGCAACGGTGTGAGAGTTACGTGGCCTTGCTGATGAAAGCGGGTGAGAAAGGTTTGAAGTGAAAAAATAGTCTTGATACTCTGCTGCATGTCTATCGCCAGTCTTGTATACTGGTCACACAATATACTTAATTTCTTCATCTCTTTCATAGCAAGAGACATTGGTACGTGATAGAATACTTGTGTCATCTGGCACAAGAGTGTCATGCGATCAGAAAGAACTTGCTCGGTTTGGTATTTTATGTGTTCCATTTTACTAGCTTTAGCTAATCTGTTGAGAGAGAAATCATACAAAATATCGTTACAATGATTTATTACGTCAATTATTATCCTGCTATGGTATTATATCGAGATATCATATAAATTACTTACACTAGTAATAAAAAACTCCATGGTAGTTGGTCCACATGAAACGCCTCGTGACTTAATACCGTGTCGATTTGAGCAATAGATGCTAAACGAATTGCTGTCATAAGCTCGTCACTACCCAACATATGTGCAAGTGTTGCATCTTTCTGTCTACGGTCCATGATCCCATCGTTTCGGCCACTTTTAGGCACAACTAGTGCCAAGATTGGCTCGAATGGCCCCCACTCCATGGAAATCTTATTGTTACTTTTCATGGAAAAATTGCTTCAAATTATGTACAGTTGGTGTATTTAAAAAGTATATCTGATGTACAAACTAGTGTACAGACCAGTTCGACTTTTCTAGTCGGTGGAAAGGTTACAATAGAAACCCCCATTAAGTAACGTGATTATGATCAGATCACGAGCACCTGCGTCTGTACGAGAACTTGTGGATCAACCATTGAAGAAATTAGGTAAATTGTATGAAAATTCACTGAAAGCAATGATGGTATGTGGACTTGAGTTCTACTTGTCTGCATCTCTCGTTGCATCATTTTTTCAGTGTCCAGATGAAACGGTACAAGCAGAACAGGAACTCCAGACGCTCTATACGCTAGCTTGGGTACCTCTTTTCCTCTCAATTATTCTCGTATATGGTCCAAAACTTTCAGTCTCTATCTTTCCATCACCGGAACATTTTGAACGTAATATGTTACGTTGCAAAATCTTTACATGGTTGTACGCGTTTGGTCTTCTCATTTGGGATCCTGATATGATTATTAAGACTGGACCGTCATTGGGGGTGAGTATTCTCTTTTGTATTGCTGATGTTGGACGTTTTATCATGGACATGAAGCATTTGACTGAAGTCGAGTATGATGATAATGGCAATTCGTTCATTATCCACAAGAAGACTCCACGTCAGAGTGAACAACCGCAAGACCAGCAGCAACAGCTGCGAGCCCATGAAGAATTACAGGAAGAAAGCTACACGGTTCAAGTAATTGGTGTGAATCGATGCACGCAATCGCGAAGAACGGGTCAACATAAACAGCAAAGCTTTGTACCGCATCACGAAATGTCAGAAGTGTCTCCATCTCATTGTCAAGAGCCATTAGTGCCGCTATACGATAGTGCGAATAAGCTTGGCAGTCGGAGACAATCACGAAATGGTACGAAACGTGATCAGGACTTGAGACTGGACCAATTCTCATCGTCAAATAAAAGTGAAGACGTTGCTGTCTTGGATTCTAATGGTGCTGAAAAGGAAGACGGAGAGTTAATTGCGAAAAAGTCATTTACGTATGAATTTTAGGAACAAAAACTCTACTTTGTCATTTTTGTATGGGGAAGAAGATAAAGACTTGGCGTAAGAGCAGCATAGTATACAGTATATCCGGATAAAAATTCATGACGTCATCTTTTTGTGTCACCAAGTTATAATCGGTTACCCTCTAGAAATAGATTTTATAACCTTTTATGGTACATTTCCTTCACTGAATGGAAGTATAGTGAATGCAGAATGCGGGTGGTTCCCACGACAGGAGACCCGGCAGTTTAAGGAGCAGAGAATACGACAAGGAAGGGCGCCCTTGGGTTCAACTCAAAGGCCTCTTCTTTCACCCATCTTCTCCCCCCCCCTCCTCCCTTCCTTCCCTCCCTCCCTCCTTCTTTACCTCTTCCTCCTCCTCCTCCTCCTCTTCCTCTTCCTCCTCCTCTTCTACCTCTCAGTTCTATCATGTCAACAACACCTGATCCTCCTACACGTTACTGTGTCTGTCAACAAACAGACGGTGCTGGTATTATGATTGAATGTATACGTGGATCTGGTGGCTGTAATGGATGGGTTCATCCAACCTGTTGTGAGCTTATTTTAACTCATGAAGAACTGGAAGCGCTTAATGCCTACGTTTGTCCACTATGTGAGCAACCTGATGATGATTTTAAAGCCATGATGGCATTTAACACAAGATTAGCGAATCGAGAGGCATTACACCAGCGTAAACAACTGACCAATAAAGCCGTCAAGAACCCATGGGTCTGTGTCACCTGTCAACATCCAAATCGAGATCGCCGGACACGAGAGTGTGAGGTGTGCCACACGAGACGTGTGATGCCACATCATAAAGCAAAGAAACAACAAGAAGACGACGAAGAGACAGCACGACTCATGGCACAGGATGAGCGACGTCAGAGTAAACGAGCAACTAATAAGAAAAGAAAATCATATCATGTGCCAAATTCTGATGAAGATTTTGGAACTTCAGATGATGAAGAATACAACATGCTGAAGAAGAAGAAGAAGACGAAGAGAAAATATACAAAACGAAATGAAGAAAGTGATTTTGATGAGGCAGACTTTCAACTGGATACGAACGAATTAAAGACAAAGAGTAGCAGTAAACGACAGGAACAGTTGATAGTGACGACCATGGTCATTGATAAGATTATGGGTGTGAGACAACAAGATAGCGTTGAACCAGCACGTGCTTCTACTACGGACTCAGTCAGTGCCAAGTTGTTTGGGGTTAATCGACCTACTAAGACAGCAGTTGTCGAGTATTTGATCAAATGGAAAGGTTTTGCGTATATGCATGCGACGTGGGAGACGGAACAAGTGCTGCTAGAAATGGATCCACTGACCAACAAGCAGAAGATCAAGAGGTTTCATGAAAAGGAGCAACAGCGACTGTATCATCCACATCGTCAAGCCGGAGACTTAGACGGGGATTCGATGGCGGCGGACGAGCTTGAATACTTTAATCCCGAGTATTTGGAAATCCACCGTGTTGTTGCTCACCGACGAGACCCACCAATAGCTGCTGACTCCAACTTTTCTGATGCCCCTGTCGACGATGGTATGCGCTACTACATTAAATGGCGCATTTTGTCATATATGGAAGCGACGTGGGAACGTGCTTGTGACATCAAGGATGATGCTGCTCTTGCCAAATATAAGGCGACAATTGTTGTTCCCGATGAGGAGATGTGGAAACCAAGACCGCGACCAAGCATTCGTGAATATCGCAAACTGGAGGAATCGCCCAAGTATGGTGAAGATCAATCGCTTTCGCTTCGTGCGTATCAGCTGGAAGGTCTAAATTGGTTGCTTTGGAATTGGTTTAATGAACGTCCAAGCATCTTGGCCGATGAAATGGGATTGGGTAAAACAATTCAGACACTTTCGTTTCTGAATCACCTTCGCGATGACTCTAAAATTCGAATTCGCGGACCGTTTTTGATCGTGGCGCCTCTTTCACTGATTGTACAGTGGCAAAATGAGTGTGAAATGTGGACTACCATGAATTGTGTAGTGTACCACGGCAACACTGCCTCACGAGAAATTATTCGTGACTACGAGTTTTACTATTTGGATGATAAGCTTTGTCCCGACCGCAAGAAGCCTTATCGCTTTAACATTCTTGTGACAACTTACGAAGTGGCGATAAAAGACATTGCTGTCCTATCAAAAATTCACTGGCGTTGCCTCGTAGTTGATGAAGCCCACCGGCTTAAAAATCAATCCTCACGGCTTGTCGAACAGATGCGTTCTTTACGTCGTGATCACTGCGTGCTTCTCACGGGTACTCCTTTACAAAACAAGACTGAAGAGCTGTGGGCGCTGCTCAACTTTCTCGACGGAAAATCGTTTCCAAGCGTTACTGATTTTCTCGCTAAATTTGGCGATCTTCATGAAGCCCAGCAAGTGGCAGACTTGCACAAGATGCTAAAGCCGTACCTACTTCGTCGTGTAAAGGAAGACGTTGAAAAATCGTTGCCGCCTAAGGAGGAGACAATTGTTGAAGTGGAACTTACACCGGTTCAAAAACAGTGGTATCGTGCAATTTACGAGAAAAACACAGCGTTTTTGAATCGTGGCGGGAATCCCCGCAATGTGCCAAATCTGATGAACGTTATGATGGAGCTTCGCAAGTGTTGCAACCACCCGTATCTGAACAACGGGGTTGAGGAAATTTTGAATGAAGGATTGACGACGGATGCACAACGTCATGAGATGATGGTAAAGTGTTGCGGTAAGATGGTGTTAATCGACAAGCTGCTACCGCGATTGAATGACGGAGGACACAAAGTGCTTATTTTTAGCCAAATGGTTCGCGTGCTGGACATAATCGAAGATTATTTGCGCTACTGTGGTCATCTTTATGAGAGACTAGATGGCAACATTCGTGGTAATGACCGCCAAGCTGCTGTTGACCGCTTTGTCAAGCCCGAGTACAAGCGATTTGTGATGCTGTTGTCGACTAAAGCTGGTGGATTAGGGCTGAATCTAACGGCTGCAGATACGGTCATCATTTTTGATAGTGACTGGAATCCTCAGAATGATTTGCAAGCTCAAGCCCGTGCGCATCGTATTGGCCAGACACACTCGGTGAAGATTTATCGCTTGATCACTCGTAAAACTTACGAGATGCACATGTTCCACAAGGCTTCGCTGAAACTAGGATTAGACAAGGCCGTGCTTACTCACATGCGTCGCGAGAACGAGGAAGAAGGCGGCAAGAAAAGAAACAAGAGCGTCAAGGCACAAGAATCTAAGGAGATTGACGATTTGTTGAAACGAGGCGCTTACGATGTGTTCCGCGACGACGATACTGCAGGCGAACAATTTTGCGCACTAGACATTGATCAGATCTTGCAACGCTCGTCACAGGTTGTGCAGTACGCTGAGCAGGCGCAATCAAGCTTTTCAAAAGCAAGTTTTGTATCAGCCACTACCTCAGACGATGTGGATCTCGACGATCCTGATTTCTGGAAGAAGGCGGTGGGTCTTACAGAACCGGACCCAGTGGAGACAGAAATTTTGCTGCCGCATCAGCGCAAACGAACTCGGGTCGCGCGATTTGGCGACGGAGGCAGTTTTTCTGACGGCAGTATATCCGACGATGAATACGAACAAGAGAAGCGTGAAAAGGAAAAAGAAGAGCGCGAACGGCTTGAAGAGAAAAGCACACCCCGAGAGTGGACACAAAACGGACGCGATCGTCTGCAGCGTGCGTTAATGCACTATGGTTTTGGTCGCTGGGAGCTTATTCGAAGCCAGAGCGGCGGCAGTCGTTCTGTGAAAGAGGTGGAACGTTTTGCGCGTGGATTTACATATGTGTCGGGCCTGGCTTGTGACCAGCGCAAAGATGATTCTACATTTGTGAAGGCGTCAATTCACGCTGCGATGTGCGCTCAAAAGAAGAATTTAATCGATGAAGAAGACTTGTCAGCCGTTTTAAAGGAAGAAGATTTTGTGCTAAAATTAAAGCAAGGTGGCGGTCGACGTGTGTTGGTTCGACTGGATATGCTTCAAAGACTTCAGCAGCTGGTTGCATCGGCTTGCGATGTGTGCGATAAGATATATAAGGGTACTGAGGAAAGTTTCAAGCCATCGCCGACTGCCAGCATTGATGAGCGTGCTAAATATTACGGTGTGGATAAGCTAGTACCACACATCGAGTTAGTCGACGTAGGAGAGCGACCAGCATGGACACAAATTACGCCATGGTGGAATGCGAACGCCGATCAAAACTTGCTGATGGGCGTTTTTCTTCATGGATATGGCCGTTGTGCCCAAATTTTAGCAGACCCGCGACTGTGTTTTGCACAATTAGAGAAAGCTGCTTACGATCAAATTGAAGCAAACAATGGGAGCAACTTTGATCCGACAAGAGTTGTTCGGTTAACCATGAATCCGATTAAAAAGGAGAGCATGGCAGCTGGAGAAGGAGTTGACGACGTAGATATGAGCGATGTTGGTTCGGAGAGGGCAACAAGCTCTGTTGTTGATCACGGTGCCTCCAGGACCAATGACATTGGTACGCAAGTGAAGACCGAAGCTGGCATGGCTTTTGCTTCTGCTGGTGAAAGCAGCATGGCAACATCAGCTGCATACTCATTCAAGCAGCCTGAGGTTCAGCATATGAACCGCTTACTGAGCTGGCTGCTGTCTGCCGAGGAGACGAAGCGTCGCCACGAAAAGGACAGATACAAAAGGGAGCGTGCGTCTATTGAGCAAAGGCGGCAAGCTACTCAGGATATGCGAGCGCGCTCTCTGGCTTTGCGTCGGTTGGAGCTGAAGGCCATGCATCTTGCACAGGTGGACATTCTCCGGCACATGGCAGTACTGCACAATGCTCGTCAACTTCCGGATGCCACACTAATCGCTGGTCCACAGCATCGCATGAAAAGTACCGATTGGACCAAGGAAGAGCGTCGCTCCTTTGCGTACATGATGACACTTCATGGCGCACCGCGGATTCTGGCAAAACGTGCCGTCGTTGCACCGGATGGTAAACCAACCCCATCGATGTTTCCTTTCATGACGGAGCAAGCGCGTGAGTTTGCATGGGAGACGGATAGTATTTCGTGGCGCAACATTGTGGAGTGGGGTAATCTGAACAAAACTGCTACTCTCGCGCGAGCTTTTTACGAGACAAAGTTTGCCCCCAAGTGCCGTGAGGTTGCACGTATGCGGGCAGATCCGCTTGGCTCTGACCAGCGCGCAGTGGCGTTGGGCGATCTTATCGGTATCGAGTTTGTGGATGCGTATGAAGGTGTGTTGGCCCATGGGCTTAAAGCTCGCAACACTGCCTGGGTAACAATGCGGCGCACTCAGTTGCTGGAAGATGTGCTAGACATCCTGTCAACGAAACGAGACACGCTGGAAACTTATCTCCGATCCGGAAAGCATATTTTGGTGGAAAATATGCCAGTGTGGTGGTGTCCATGGATTCATGACTTGGGTGCCTTTTACGGCATGGCTCGCTATGGCATTTACGGCTGGGAACGTATCATGCTGGACCGTCGCCTGCCGTTTCACCGCCAGGCGCGAGAACAACACATTCGCGCAGTGTTTCTGGAGGGTACACCCACCTTTCGTCCTCTGTACCGTCATCACTTCGAGTCGATGGCAGAGATGAATGACTGGTTTGTACGTGCCGTAGGCGAGCTCCCGTCTCTTTCAGTTGTAGAGCGTAAGGTGGAGAGGATTTGCGCCGCGATATTCGATGAATATGGAAATGCTGTCGAGCGCTATGTGGAGCCCGAAGACCGGCGCGACTTTAGCCTATCACCAGCAGGGAATTGTTTTGAGGAATTGATTTTAGCTCGTGTAAAACAAGAAGAGGAATTGCTTCCTAGCATCGAGCCCATCCCGGCCAACGACACGCCCCAAGAGTCAAGAGGTGCTCCAGAAGCCCTGAGAACGTTTATAAATGAGTCGCAAAGTCGTCGTGATGAGTATTTACGGACGGCTGAAGCATCAAATGCCATAGGCTCTGCTACATCTACTTTTGCAGCTACAAGTAGCGCAGGGCTTACTCGTCTCGTCAGTGGTCAAGAAGACAAAGAACAAGGTGAGGAGGGTGAACAGCGACAGCAGACGGCGTCATCGCAGCTTGCTATTAAGATGCTGGTTTCATAGACCAGCTTGCAACTACAACAATCAGAATAACTTGTTAGCAACCGGATAGCTGCAAGATCATAGATCTCATCCTTTGTCTGTCTGTGTTTACATGGACACGTTTGAACGAGTGCTGCTAATACGTATGATCCGAATCATTGGTGTTGTTTGTGTCTAGGAGGCTTGTCACACTTTTGTTTTTGAGCAGATGGGTTACAGCTGCGTAGTGATAGTCAATATTGTTGGAATGTTTGTAAAGCAATTCAGGTTGAAGATGCACTGTTGCACTTTGTGTGTGACACATGAAAGCAAACACGTATGTTGAGCTAAATGTCTGTTGGTGTAAACTACGTAATCAAAAAACCCAGAGTAAGGTGGTCTACATCACATTAATGGTCACCACCAATCAAGCCACAGGGTTTTTTCGCTTAGAAACTTGCAATAATGAGTGCAAACAAAGAAGAGATAAAGCGACGTCAAGTGATTGTGGTCTTAGAACAGGCGGCACTGGAGACGGTAAAAACATCTAAAGGTTATCAGTTGCTTAATTGTGATGATCATAAAGGCATTCACAAGAAATTAAATCGTGAGGCAAGTCAATCACGTCCAGATATTCTGCATCAGGAACTCATGGCGCTCTTAGACTCGCCTCTGAACAAGTCTGGATATCTCAAGGTTCTTGTGTAGAATCACTAAAAGAGACTACATAGTACTATTGGCGAGTGTGATTGGATATTAATTGAATCATGTTTTATTACTCCAGATGTACATTCACAGCACGAAGGGCGTACTCATTGATGTGAGCTCGCAAATGCGTGTGCCTCGCACATATAAACGATTTGCTGGTCTTATGGGTAAGTAAATGCAATGAATGTAGTTTATATGGATCATAGATAGCAGATACTAATGTTTTCGTGGAGTGGTTTAGTGCAATTGCTGCACACGCTGAAGATCCGGTCATCGGATGGTAACCAGACACTGCTGAATGTGGTCAAGAATCCCGTGACCAAATACTTGCCGGCCAACAGCAAAAAATACGCGCTCTCGCGTACAGGTACATTGGTAAATCCGTGGGAGTGGGTAGAGACACTGCCCAAGGACGAGCCTGTAGTGTTCATTATTGGTGCCATGGCACACGGTCACGTTTCTAAGGAGAACTGCAATTATGTATGTGAGTGTTGTAAAATTGAGCATACAGGCATAAGAAATTGATGCATTAATTGTTGTGCTTTTTGCTGCACGTTCAGCTGGACGAGACCATCTCAATCTCGGAATACCCGATGAGCGGGGCCCAGGCCATCTGCCGTCTTCTGAACGGCTTTGAACGTCACTGGGGTATTTTGTAACTTTATTTGTGACTTGTGGCTTATGCTGCCACTTGCACTGGTGTACCAGCCGGGAAGTGGCGGAATGGTGCTGATAGATGAAAGCAAAAACGAGCAACTGAGTCATGGCTATGGACAAAACGTATGCAGGGCTAAAAATATTGAAACAAGTGCGATGCTATTGCTTACGTTGCCAATTATACAAATATGGGTTATCCTGTTGAAGACAAAAAGGGAGAACCAGGCAAGTTCTTTGCTTTCTGCAAGATTTGCTCTTCAGGTGTAAGAGGCACTCTACCATTTAAGTGCTGTTCACGTTGGTCGTAGATAGCTTTCCTGATGGCACCTTGTGTGACTTCGTCGTACTCATGAATATTCCTTCGCGAATCTACTTGGTTCGTGTCAATCTCCGGATCCCCTTTCAGCGCATTAGCCCACCACGTCGGTTTCATCTTTTCCAGTGAAATGTTGAGTGTATGGTTGCTCTCTAGCGACCACAGACTCTCGTCCGCACGGATTTTCTCTGGAAACTCTCCTTCCAAAAGTGGTTTGGTTGAGTCTCTCTTCAATGCCACATACAGCCGCGTAGATTTGATCCGACAGTCCAAGTCCTTTGCTTGAGTACCTTGAGCTACCTCCATCTGAATCTATACAAAACAAATACCCACACACCATCAGTCAACCAGCATCATCTTATTGTTCAAGAAGCTACAAATGACCTACTGAGACATCCTCCAACGTCTGCGTCCATGTATACTTAGGTGCTACTCCTCCATTACCCACAGGAACTATACAAAACAAAGTCAAACAACCAAGTCTCAGTCACTCATCACAAACGGAAGAGCATGAAAAACCTACGTAATTTGCCTTCCTCCGTAACCTTTGGCTCTTTCTTAGCAGCAATTGAAGCTTCTGCTGCTCTTGCAGTAGGTACCGACACATTTGTCATCGTCTGCTTTATCTTTTCAGTCACATTGGTGGTATTACATTCGTCCAGTCTCGTAATTGAATACTTCTGAAAGACTTTCAGCACCTTTTGCTGCGCTTGACCTGGTAAAAATCCCATCTTGTGTCTCTCTGGGTCCTTGGAAACCGCGTAAAAATCAGTTTTGCGATGCAAAAAGTCAAAAAACGTGTCTAGCAATGACTCGACGCTGCCATGTTGCTGCGCTAGCTGCGTTAATAGCGCGTCAAAGCGTCCAGGGGCAGAACTCATGGCGTCTGTATGCATGAGTCGCTAGTATCTCTCTTCTTGTTGATTCGAGATATGTTTTCAACCAATCAGAACTGTCAAACGCAGTGGTCATACTCAGCTTAAGATAAAATGTGGTCGGCGCTGCAACATGCCAAGCAGGCAGCGTGTGGATTCGCACGTCGCCATAAGAAGCTGTTGGTTGTAACTGGTGTGGGTGCAGCATGTGTAGGAGGTGCGTATTATACGTACAAGAACATGCTGAGTGAGGCTGAGCGCTTTACGCAGCAGATTCAAACGCACCTGGCCGAACACCAGCGTCTACAACTGGCGCTGAGTAGCACAGCGGACGAGAGTCGCGCAACGGTGCGGCGCTTCCTGCCTCGTCTCAAGACACGTTTGTACCAGCTTTTGGATCTCGAGAAAGTGGTACAGGAGCTCAAGAAGCTTGACAAGACACAGAAGATTGAGCGCAATGCGCTCTGGGAGAATGCAAAGCTACTGGCGTTTACACGCTACTTGACGACGCTTGTGGCTTTTGGAGTGTGGCATTTGCTCGTGTTTGCACAGGTTTCTATCATTGGAAAGCGAATTTTTGAAAAGAACAAGAGTCCATTGAGACTGTCAGATTCTTGGCGAGAAGAGGAGAAGGAACAGGCACATCATGCATTCTTGTCGTCAGGACTCGAGTACTTTTTAGACAAGGGTGTGAGTAAAATTAAGACCCATGTAGAGGCTGTAGTGAAAAACAATACGCAATTACAGAGCTGGAAAGTCAGTCGCAAAGTGACCGTGAGAGACGATGAGCTTAATGAACTATTGCAAGCATTGTTCTTAGCGGTATTGCCTTCTCCGGCTGCGGTAGCTGCTACGGAAAAGCACGAGGAATCGACAGAGATGAGTATGTGGAGAGAGTTTATGATCTATCCAGACAAGCAAAAGGGCCAGAACGAACATGTGATTAGCCTTCTCAACGACTTGTGGGATCTACTAGAGAGCGATCTCTTTGTGCCTGTACTGCAGCATAGCTTGGGATATCTCTGTGGCAACGCTTTCCAGGACCTTGATGATGTCGTCTATGGACCAAGCAAACAGGAATCTTGTATCGTCGAGAATAACGCTACTGTGCTGCCGGAGAAGAAAGCGGCACCACCTCTTGCGAAGCTTATTCCATGTCTGCAAGCAGAAATGAGCAAGCTTTTGCAGTCTTCAGAGGGACCAGACAGCTACGTTGCTAAGTATTCGCAAGGTCTTGGGGAGATGGAGGCGTTTCGAAACTTTTACGAAGCTATTTTTTTTGAGCAGAGTACTCAAGACTCGCATATAGGATCGACTCTCATCTAGAGCCCCGCACCGGTCCAAAACACAACAGGCCGTTCGTCTGATGTGACGATAATACAAGCTACGATAGTCCGACATATCTATAAGCAGCAGGTAATACGCAGCCGCACTCGTAAGCCGTCGTATAGTGGAGCAACAGAATGCATTCTCTATTTTCTTGACAAATTTTCTCATAAAATGCGCTCGAGCCCGGTCAGTTGCGAACTGGATCGATATGAACCCTGCTTGCGTACCATCTTGACGAATGTAGTCAGATTTCAAGCTACAATGCGATCTAGTCCAACTTCGTTATGTTGCGTCATCTGCTTCTTTTTGCCATGCTGTTAAATGATGGGCATTGTTAGCCAGCTCACGCCTTAACTCGCACAGCTTGTAGTCGATACTTTTGTAAAGATACACCGATGTCTTGTGAGCCCAGGACACATCGATCTCTGCCTCAACAGGCGGGTGGACGTACTCGATGCAAAAGTTGCCAGCACGCGTGCACTGAATGTCTCCATGACGTTCACAAATTTTTCGAAGTGTTATCACACACCGTAGTTTAGACATATCTTTTAGAAGCTCCATTACCTTTAACATGAGAGCAGGACCAAACATTACGTTGTTAATGAAAACCACTGTGGCATCCATCAGGCGAGCTTGTTCAGGAGGAACAAAGATATCACCACGAAAGATCTCAATTTGCTTGTCACGCAGTATAGCGATGTCACGGTCATGAAGCCGTTTCAGTGCCTTGTGTCCTTCCAAGACGCGATTTTGCATGAGCTCAATGCCTGTTGCCCGTTTGCACGGCGTCTGCAGAGCGACTTGCACCAAGATTTTGCCTGTACCGCACCCAAGGTCAAAGAACACATCGTCTTCTTCTAGATTCAGCAAAGGTAGAATCGTGGTGGCTACTGACTCGACCGATACTTCACCGTACGTCATCAAGCGTCGAAACTCCTCCATATTCAGATCCTCAATCTCCTGAGACCATATGCACGAGCTTGTCTCGGTCACAACCGTATCTCTTGTGATATTGTACATCTCTCGATCATCCTTCTCCTGCTCTTCATACAGCTCTTTAATAAGCTTCGAGACGTACTCGGTCTGCAACTCAAAAGTATACGCAGGTTCCAATGAGCGGCGTGCTTTACTACTCCGTTTCTTTTTCGGCGTCTTTTTCGCTTCATCCTGAACAGGAGATAACATGCCGTTGGACGTCTTTGTGTCCTTGCTGGCACTCTTCACCCGTTTGGCAGCAACCTGCTTGTGTTTTTGCTCCTTCACCACAGGCTCAACAGGTGCATCAGCGACCATTGACACTGCAGTACTAGATTTTCGTACCGCAGGTAGTTTTAGTTCAATGTTTCTCCGCTTTTGCAAAGATTTACGGCTCGATAACTTCGCCGGCAAACTCACCAGGTCCACCGTGCGGCGTTTGCGTCTACTACGACGCAGTGGCTCCTTCATACCAACCGTCATCTTGTCCTGATCTCTTTCAATAGAATCCATCTTGATTTTTGTCTCACATTGCAGCTCATAACCTCGTTGGACAAGAGCCGTCGTTGTCATTGTCGATCTTATTTCTCCATTAGATGATGAAGACAAAGCCATTGCACTGGGTAAAGACAATGCAATAGCTGATCCAATGGTATTCTCAGACACTTCTTCTTCTTCTTCCAATTTGTTCACAACTGTCTCAATAGCTACACCAGTGGTCGTCATACTGGTCTCTTCGTTACATTTTCCACTATACTTACGTTCATATTCATCTGATTCCTGCAAACTTAACGGAGTTATCGGTATCATAATCAATGAACGTGAGCTTGACAAAGAACTGTGACATGTCAATCGAGGAGTAAGAAGATGTGGACTCTCAAACTTGCGATATTCAGCAGAGCGACGTCCTTTGCGGTTGGCTGGACGACGACATTGTCTCTGGGATGTCATTGCTCAAGTGTTTAAACTTTTAAAATCAGACGAAATCCAAAGTAGACTCCCTATTTACTAATAACGAGCGTGTAGTTTGGAAATATTGTGATTATAGCCATGACTTTCACCAGGAATTTATTGAATTAAACAGTTTTACTAGTCAATCAAATGGATGATTTCTTGGATTCACCCATAGGGTGGTCCATTTGCGTGCGTATTAAAAGCTTTTCATCCTTGCAGCAACACTTTTTGTAAAACACAACGAGACGAATTACAGTGCGCTAGAGGTACGGTGCCACTGATACGCACCATCATGATACTGGAATCCAGCCCTGTTCACTAGCTCGTCACTCTCCTTGGGTCCACGTGAGCCGAAAGCATACGGCAGCGGCTTGACCTGCTGCCTCTCAATCTCATCCAGCAGCGGCGTAAAGATCTTCCAAGCTGCGCGCAACTCGTCATCGCGTACAAAAGTGGCCTGTTTGCCACGTAGCACATCAAGGATAAGGCGTGTGTAAGCGTCGGGCACTTCTGTGCCTTCGTAACGCTCGGCATAAGACAAATCGAGCTCACTCGAGATTGCCTGGGTCTGTAGACCCAGGCTCTTCACGTTCATCTTCATATACACGGCCTCCTCTGGCTGCAGACGCAGCACCAATTCCTGCACGGGAATCTTTACACCCGGAAACATGTACTCCGCTCCAGGAGGTGAGCGAAACTGTACTCGAATCTCGCCCTTGCGCTCGTTCAAGGCTTTGCCTGCCTTCATGATGAACGGAACCCCAGACCAGCGCGGATTGTTCACATACATAATCGCAGTGGCAAACGTGGGAGTCACTGATCCCTTGGGTACAGTCGGGTCCTCGAGGTAGCCCGGCTCATTGCGCTCCTTATCACCCTCGTATTGGCCTAGCACGGTGTCTTCCAACTTGATAGGCTCAATACAGTTCAGCACCTTGACCTTCTCGTCACGAATGTAGTTTGAGTAATCCTTACCAGCAGCCATGACAGGCGCCTCCATAGCTACAAGCGAAAGCACTTGCAGCAAGTGGTTCTGCATGACATCACGGATGATACCGTACGAGTCAAAGTAGCCACCGCGGCCCTGTGTGCCGATGTCTTCCTTGAAAGTAATAGTCACGCTCGAGATGTAATTGCGGTTCCAAACAGGTTCAAAGATCGTGTTGCCAAAGCGTAGCATTAGCAGGTTCTGTACCATCTCCTTGCCCAGGTAGTGGTCAATACGGTAGATTTCGTCCTCACCGTAGAGTGCACTCATATCGTTTGAGAGCTTGTTGAATGATTCAAGGTCGTGGCCAAAGGGTTTTTCCACAATTAGACGGTTCCAGCCACATGACGTAAGTGCCGCTTTCTTGATGCTCAAGCCGATAGGCTCAAAAACCGTTGGCGGGATGGCAAAGTAGAAAAGACGGTTGACCCCAGTCGTGCCTTGAGCTTCCTCGAGCGCCTCCATTTCCTTGCTAACCTTGCCCACGTCATCGGACGAGTCGTAATTGCCGCTGCGGTAAATGCATTTGCCGAGGAAGGCCTCTTTCTTGGCCTCAGCCTCAGGCGTCTTGGGTTTAATATAAGGTGCAATCTGCTTGCGAAAGTCAGCATCATTCTTATCGCTGCGTGCGTAACCCACGACAACCACATGCTCTGGAAGATAGCCTGACGCGTAGAGTGCAAAGAGAGAAGGATACGTCTTCTTCTTAGCTAGATCTCCCGATGCACCAATCACAAAGACTGTAAGGGCCATTTCAAGGTATTCACAGCCATTATGCTCGTCTTGAGAGGGTCGTTCATTATCGCTATTGTTACTTAAGAAGCTCATGATTATTCTCTTTTTCTATCGGTATCTTTGATCTCGTGGATCTTCTGGCGGTTACCCGAGGGTAAAATGGCGTTTGAGCTGGGACGAACCAAGCAGCAGAGTGGCTAACTGTTTGCATCAACATATGAAAGGTTACTTATTCGAAAATTAGAGTAATTCAGATACAAGTCTAAATTTGAAAGGTACAGATTAGGCGCTACACACCCTTTATTTGTTTGCATGAACACAATTGGCTAAATAAATTGGATAAGAAAACAGATCATTTTAGCACGAAATTGTCGGATACCGTACTAAAAAGTATATCAGTATCCTGGAATCTGCCTATGATTACGTACACGGCGTGAGACACTGCTCATCTTCAACGGCATCGCACAGCGGCTAGTACCTCGATGATTACTGACGTTAATCATCATACATGTGTACGACGAATAAAAGAAACATCAGCTCTCAGCTGTTACGGGTAACAGTCAACAAGCAACTTTAAGGATGTAATCCGTTACTTCAGCATCGCAGCAAGGCTCCTGCATTCGTTACACCGCAATGAACACACGACAGCGTTGCATCGTTGTGGTTCTTTTCCAGTATTGTCTTCGGCATTGTTGCATCGCTGCGGCCTATAAGCTGCATTCCTCCTCTACGCAGCACTCTGCAACATTACACTGCAACAACATGAGGGCTTGATGTTCCGACGAAACGTAATCATGCCACGGTACGCCACCCATCTCGTGCGCAAAGCGAAGCGCACTAGATTTTCTCGGCAGCAAGTCCAATTCGCTGATATTTGCAGGTCTATGAGGTGGGAAAAGGGTCTGCGTGATATGATAGCACGTCAAGACAATCCTAAGCGAGGGAATCTTCGTTTACCGTTTGACACCTCGTCATATCAATATCCGTCATCACGAGAGCTGTCGTTTGTGGCCAGCGACCAGACGAAGTCAGGCGTGGTACACCATCTGTTGATTCCGTTTTGTCGATTACTCCGCTTCTCCGCCAAAGAGGTTGTCGCAATCATAGGGCGGTAACACATATGACTGCAAGCGGCGACTACGGCTTTCGCTTGGTGTAGACAATGCACTGAAGATTTTGATAGTACATTCACTGCGCATTGTCTCACGCTTTTGATAAATGAATGTATTACTAGGCAATCAGCAGTTCTTTTGTTGGTGGACATAGCGACAAATTCGATGGCTAAGGGCGGGAACGTGCGGTGCTAAACTGTGTTACCGCAAATAACACAGCTGTTTAGGTTCGAGACGGCGCTCATTAACAGACGTGTCGCAACTCGTGCGTCATCAAAGCGTCATCACGTTGGCAGGCGCGGAATCGTCGTGATGGACCTGGCAATGACTTATCCGGTTCTTCTGGTGGACGGCGCTATTTAGATGACTTTGCGGACTAGTGTGTAGGCTGCGGAGTACCCGAATAGCGACGAGCATTGCAGTCCTCAAACCTACATTGCTATTCTATGACCTACGCAATCAAGTCGCACAAGGTTTTATAAAACTCTGCTCGAGACGACAGCATGTTTTTGTTAAAACTGCCACGTAAAATGGCTTTCGTGCACCATCACTCAAGAGAGCTTTGAATGGTGGTGCTGCTTTTTTACGCAATTACTTATCAACATTTGTAGTAAGTCGCTACTAGAGCGCGCCGTGGTACCAGCCAGTCCATTGTTGCTATCGAATGAGTAAGCTAGTGTCACTTGCAATCAGCCCCCAGCTAAAGTGTGCTGCGACGTAGCTTAGACCGTCTGAAGCGCTCGATCAACGGAGAGAAAACATTCTCTTCAGGCTGTTTTACTGAGCTTTAGATAAACATGGCTTTCATGTCCGCCCTGTGACCAGCTGACAGGTGCAGTCATACTCGCGCCCTTCTCTTTTCAGACTCACAGTACGTAATCTCGTGGTGTCGCAGTGGTTTACCGTCGCTGCCTTGGGGACCCTATACAAACAACAAGATATCAAGACCAGTGATTGTGTCCGCAGCCACATCATTCCTATCTGTCCTGGCGCAATCTTATTCGTTTGATTTCGTATACCTCAAGGTGACAGGGTGTGGTCCAAACAAAGTCTTATTTCAAAATTTGCCCTTTGAGTAGCAAGTAGCCGACCAACCTCTTAATATAGCAGTTACCAATAAAGATGACCACCTTTCAGCCGTCATCCACCGGACTTGCGAACGACATGCAACCCTTACTGTCACCTGGCTTCACGACACCACGCAGTCCGCATTCACTGTCCGACAACCCGCGGCTCACCCTCTTCGCCGCGGCGGAGCAGGTGCAGCAACAATCTCTACAGTGTGCGCTCAACGTGAACGTCAAGGTGCCTGCGCTTAACCTGAACGTCATCCCAAAGCTTCCTTCGCTCGAGGGCCTGCTCAAGCAGATGCAGACGAGCTCGCCCACGTTGTCCGTCGCACCGTCTCCACAGCACCCTCGACTGAGCCCAGTGTCGCGTGACCTTGCTTCCATGCCCTCGCTGCAAACCGTGATCAGCCCTATCATGACCAAGCGCGTACTACCTGTGACGCTAATGCCACAGACGTCTTTCTGCGGTGTGACCTCCTGTGCACCGCAGACATACCAACAGATGAGCTCGTCTATGGGTCCAAGTTTTCCTGGCAAGAAGCGCTCTTGGGCCGATGTCAATCCTGTTCAGCAGGTGAGGTACCCGACCAAGTCTCGTGTGTCACCTGGCAGCCAGCAGCGCAGTTGTGCGTCTAAATACTGCAGGATTGAGGGCTGCGAGCGCGTTTCGCAGCGTAACAACCTGTGCCACAGTCATGGCGGTAAACGGTTGTGCAAGGAAGAGGGTTGTTCGTCAAAGGATCGTGGCAACGGGTTTTGCATCAAGCACGGTGGTGGAAAGATCTGCTCCATGGTTGGTTGCGAGAAGAAAGCTCGGCGGAAAGGGCTGTGCACACAGCATTTTCGCGTATCAAGCGAGTACAATTTGGACGGCGTCGTATCCTGCCTTTCCTTTCATGACCGAGCCTAGTGCATTTCGGTCCATCTAAACAGGGGCCAAAGAGGTCTCTGTACTGCTAGCCTTAGGTTAAATCGTATAAGTTGCTTGTGTGAAGTAGAGTGCTGGTAACTCTGTTTAAAGAGATTTGTTCTTGTTCGTCATACTGCCTTTTTTCTCATATAGTACCCAGCGAGAAAGGATTGTAATGTCATGCAGCGTCTCAGGCGTTTTATTTCTGCTTTAATGTCACAATCCAATAGCAACACGAAGGTCGGGAGGAAAGTACAACATCAACTGCGCGTCAAGCCATGCCTCGTTCAGCAAGTAGGGCTTTCACAACAAGATTTCTTTGATTTCGACATCTTGTTCCAGTTCAGCTTTTAAAGAGATCATCGTGTAGTGACATATATCGACTATGAGCCACACGACACCACCCCAGCACACAGCACCTACTAAGGCAGCTTACTAATCTGCCGTCATTTGGACGCAATCGCCTCACCGCTAACCGCAATTAGAGTCTGTCAAACAGAAAAGAACGTGCTTCTTATTAATGAAACTTATTGCAACGGCATGGTGTACAGTTATCCTAAACACATTAACTGAATTCGTACGTATTGTTCAATGTCTCTCAAGTCCATTTCAATCTTTCACGTGTTTGATCGTCATTTCAACCACAATCGACTATGGTGCAGCTACAGTGTTTGCTGAGCACGAGCGAGAATGTTCGTGTAGTGACCGTCGAAATGTCTCTGAATGAACGCATCGGTGTGTTGCAAGATCGCCTCAGGGAGAAGCTGGATATGATGGACTATCGAGCCAAGCCAGATATGACCATGAAGCTCTACCAGGTACAACAACATCGACTCACCTACCGTCACGACCCAACAACGAAGCAGGAAGTGCTATTCTTCGATGGTGTCGAGGCATCTGCATCCGATGCAAGTAGGACGGCGATCCTTCAGAATGCTACGCAGCTTGTGCCATGGACGATCGTATCGTGGTGTTTGCAGGATCAGCAGTTTATCTTCCCCGATGCGGTCGACATTGTAGTCGTTTGGGAAAATGATGAGAAGCTTGCGTAACTTCTTACGTGAGAGTCTAAAGGCGGATGCACGTTAACATACTGCTTGCTTGCCAAGTTAACATGTTCGCTTCGTTTTCAAAAATCACTCGTTGAGCTAATGTATTCCTGTACATTTTCGATATCTGCACCAAAAGTACCTCTACCGAACTGGACGCGGGGAAACTCACTAAGGCTGCTTTACCAATATACTGCCGGATTAGTTGGTTGGTGTGACAGTCTAAGTCGCCAGCGCCCATAGCTCGATGGATTCATGTTGCATCGATTTCCTCTTTAATCGAGCGAAGTACTCGTACTGAATATGCTAGTTCAAAACGTCACTGCATGAATGCGTAGTCAGTCTACCAAACGAGCAAATTATGGCACCTCAAAATCTGCATTCCATCGTAAATTCATTCGACTTCACTCTTTGCTTCGGCCTGACAAATCGATGGCACTAATCACTCGTTAAGTCATTCTGACTATTCATTGACCGAGCCTCCAGATGGACCTAGCGGGAAGAGCTGGCCATACTGCTGTTGCTGTCCAGGGTAGCGGTAAATATTGCTTTGCAGTGAGTGTTCTTGCTGCGGTTGATTGTATACGCCTCCATAAGCAAGAGGCGGGGCAGACGATATTGAGCCACGTCCATTTGAAAGTGGCTGCGCTGGGTCCTGTATTGGCTGGTTGTGCGCAAACGAATGCTGCTGTTGCTGCTGAGACTGCAATCCTGTATGATCGTAAAAAGGAGGCACTAACTGTTGCTGTGACGGCTGGTAGTACTGCGGAGTGCCTTCAGCTAATTGCCGAGCTAATGCCTCATCATTGGCACTTGATACAGTAGCTGCATTTCCAATTGTCATGTCCTCCATCATTTGTTGGGCCAAAGCTGCGTCTTCAATTTCACGCTGTCGCAATTCTTCATCTGCGGTCAAGTTCATCTCTAGCTCGCGTTTCTCAAGCTCACGCGCAGAGCAGTGGTCCTCTACCGTTTGATGCAACTGTGCAATACGACTGCTAAGCTCCCCGTAAAACTTTGCACCTTCTTTAACGTGTGATTCAAGCTGTTCAAAAACGTCCACGGCATCGCTTAAACGCTGAAGAAACGCCTGACGCTTACGTAGCACATGATCAGTATCTTTCTTCGCTTCAAAATGGGTGTTGGCCTCTACTAGGTCACTGAGCACATTCTGCTCTTCTTCACATATTGTAGCGATCTTCTCTTCAAAATGATTGCGAAAAAACTGCTTCTCGTCTTCGAGCGCAGTATCGATGGAGATCGCGTCAGCATTCTTCCCACTCAGTAGCGTGGGAAGTGCGTCAAACTTGTCGAACAACCCTCTAAAACTACATAAGACCTGGTGCTTTTCCTCCACAAGTTGCCCAAGTCGCAACAACAGCAAGGACACACGCGCTATCTCTTCCTTACAGCTGCAGTTATCTTGCTGTAGCTCTGGCAACTCTTGATCGAGGCTTCTCTTCGATCGCGACAATGCCTCCATATTATCCTGATTTTCGTTGAGCTTCTCTCGAACTATACCGTCGGATGTCTTGGCCTCTTTTACCAAACGATAATACCGATCAATATCTGCTCGAAAGTTCTGATTTAGCAAGGAAGAGGGAGAGCGAGCCCACTTCTCACCATAATTTTGTCGGCACATGTTGTCCTCGACTTCCTCTTGGCTTAGGCGCGACTCGGTCAAGTGTAGTCTCCTCTCCGCATCAGCCGACATGCTTTGGTTATCCTGGAGTTGCTGTTGAATAAAAGCTACGACCGAATTTTGTTTCAACCTGCTAGTACCCACTAAAGCGGAGGCTGTTGTTACCTTAACGTACTGAATGCGCTGCCATATCGCAGGTGGAATACCCTTATCGCTAGTCGTTTCAAAGGCTTCAATCGACGCAGGCAGTCCCATGGAGCGTAGTCTCTCCTTTGCAGCTTCATTGCTTTTAGATGTCTTGTCCGCTGTTTGCTCCAAAATTACTTTAATCTCTTGTTTCACGCTATCAGCGCGGAGAAGCAGATCTTTTGGCACAAACTGCTCAAAAACATCAACTTCTCCAAGTTCTTGCTGCAACTCATCTGTCGTAAACGGCAACGGTTTCACCATCGCAGCTTTTCCTACTACGGGTAGGTCGGAGAAGTTGGGCACTTTCTCCAAATAGACGCTGGCATTGTCTTTCTTCGCCGCGTCAAGATGTTCCCGCACCACACGCTGTAACGCTTGCGCAGACTGCAATAGTAATGTAGGCAACTTGTTCTGTGTTGCCACTTTGCACGCCTCATTGCATGCCGCATCTGCGGCAAAAAGCCTCGCGATCTCCTCACCGTACCCTTCTCCCCGATCTAGTGCTGCTGTCTTAGACGCCGTTCCTTGCCAATACTGCGTCGCGGCACGCATGCAATGCACTTGGAACTCTAAATGCACTCCCCATGATCTATCAATAGCGCCTGCAAGAGCCGATGAGCGATAGCATTCCAGTGCTGAAACGTAATAGTCCAGCGCTTGTTGCACCAGCATAGCTTTAACCGCGTCCTTCATTTGGTCTTTTATAGCTTTCTCGTAGAAACACGCTTGAGCCTGAGCCAACATCAAGTACGTGAGTAGTCCTAGTCCTTCTGCACTCATGTCAGGTGTTCTGACGCCTAATGTCCGTTCGACAATCTTGTCTTTTACTTCTGTGAACGCCCCTGCTGCTCTCATAAAATGGTGACAGGCCATCTTAAGTCCTTCAGCCGTGCTACGGTCTGTCTGGACACCTAATTGGCTTTCCAACGCCCCCACATTGAACATGACGGCCGCCATTTCAAAAGAAACCCCCCGTCTGTGTAATTCTTTTGCGCGGACAAAACGAATCGTTCCACGTAAACTGCAACTGCAACGATGTGTGCGTGGAAGATGCATCTCCATTACATGGAAAGCGCTTTGTCATCTTTTCCAGCTGCGCGTAGTACCGCAGCAGCACGTGGCGAGAGATAGCAGAGGGCGTACGCACTAGATCCACGTCGGTCTTTAGCTGGATGAACTGATTTAGCGCTATTTGATGGGTGTCTGTTTGCCCCTTATCCATATTGGAAGCGTATTCACGACTCAGAAACTCGCCTAGCGAGCTGCAGAGAGATGTCGTTGACGTATCGCTGAGCTTGAAACCGATGCCAAGCATGTTAATCTGATTAATAATGAGGAACAAAGAAGTTGGTGTATCCTACACTAGGACTTTTGTAAACTTTTGTTCCAGAAATCTTTTGATAAATATTCAAAAATGACAATTTTGATTTTATTCCCTTAAGATTTCCGAAATTCTAAAATACAAGGTGTGTGCATGATGACACACAAAGTTAAGTACATTGACGCCTAAATGATCACTCCAGACGGTTGCCATGGAAGGCGCCATCCAAGGGCGCCATGTTGAAGATCGGAACGTTACTGCCGATGGTTGCGATATGCAGCATGACTTACCTTGTCAATCGGTGTCGGCGTCTTTATGTATGCATGAAAAGAAGGGTCTTTTGCCACGATGGGTGAAGAAGCGTGCAGTTGGCGTAAGGCAGGAAGCGTGGTGCAAGGATAGCAGAGGGAAGTAAGTCGACGAAGTCCCGCGACAGATACAAAAGTTAGTGTGAGTGATGGGAACAAACACCTAGGGAATGGCACATCTTAAATATCAGTTTCCTTTCTACCTTATCGAGCGCAATGGTCTGTATTGAACATACCCACCTAATGTGCTGTAGCTCGGGTACATTAGTAGGTTCGACGTGACCGTACCTAAGGTACGAAGGGTCGCATCGTGGCAGAGAGCCACGTGGTCACTATACTTAACTAAGTATAGTGACTATACATATTTACATATTAAAATAAGCTATAGAGCCAGTAATAGTGAGTGACTAGCACTAAGTATAGGATAGGTGCTTCTATATTTAGTGTTAGAAGATAAACATAAATAAAAATCAGTTTTAAACCTGCTCTGTATAGCACTAGTTGCTAGAGCGTTCTATTCCGTATAGGAATTGTATCTTTGATACTAGTCTCTTTGAGACGCGGTTACAACAACCGATAGGCACAAGCTTACGAGCTAGCCTGGGAGGGTTAAGCACCCTAAGACGTAGAAGCTCTCTGAGCATGTCTTCCTCTGCACATAGTGCATACGTAGCTTTGCTACAGTAGTCAGACTACTTCTGCACATAGTGCATACGTAGCTTTGCTACAGTAGTCAGACTACTTCTGCACATAGTGCATACGTAGCTTTGCTACAGTAGTCTGACTACTTCTGCACATAGTGCATAAATAGCGTAGCTACAGTAGCTCGGCTACACCTGGTAGCACTTGTAGTCAATCTCGCACCTGGGTTTGCGACTACTTTTCTGTGTGAGAATGGACATCAACGAGATGTCAATGGTTGGCCTGTCACAGGCACAACAGGAAGGGTTGCAGAAGCTGCTCCCTATCCTTGGCCCTGAGGACGTGGAGTACCTCATAGCCCAGGGCGAAGAAGAGATTAACAAGAGTATTTATATACTTGACGAATATAATAAAGCTATAGTCGAGCATGTAAAGGCACAGATGCCTTCTTCTGCGCCTTCTCCCATGGCGACTATGGCGCAAGAAGTGTTCCGCAGACCAAAACCCATACATATGAAAGTCGATAAGTTCGACGGCAAAGAAGGTGACGCCCTTATGCTTTGGTTCCGACAGGTTGAGTCGGCTATGTTTATAGCCGACATCACCTATGGCACGTACCGTGTGGGCTTTGCCACGGGCAAGTTAAGTGGATTAGCCAAACAGTGGGCACTCACATGTAATGCATCATTGCAAGATGCCTTTCCCACATGGGCCGATCTGAAAGTTCAGATGACCCGTCAGTATGCGCCGCCAAGTCAAGCACACCGTAATCGGTCGCGTTTTTGGCGTGTCGCCAAGGCAAGCGTGAGCTTGCGGCATATGTGCAAGCGTTGAGAGCTCTTATTGCTGCCGTGGTCATAGACCCTATGCCTGAGGCAGTGACCGTCACGGTCTTCATGGAGGGCCTCCTAGTTGGCGTTGCCAGAACGGAAGTCTTTCGGGTAAACTCGTCTTCATTCGAGGAAGATGTTGGAGTGGCATGGAATGCCGAGACCAACTTTAAGGCCGCTAGGCCTGCCACTTATAATTACTCGTCTGATGGGTCTGTTCCCATGGACTGTAGTCAGTAGAGGATGAAGAAGTTACGGTACCCAAAGTTTCGATGGACGTAAGATGCTTGACTTTAACAGCATGGAACGCTGTTTGGTCTTAGACCTAGATGCGAGGTATAACCTCATCCTAGGCATGGCTTGGCTAGAACGTTATGAGCCATGGATTGATTGGAGGTCGAAGACCTTAGGCGCAACGCGCAATGCTCCTGGTGGGGCTCTCGAGAGTCATGAGCCCACCTCTGCTAGGAAGCAAAAGCGCTTTTGGCGCGGATATTGGACCAAGTCGGTCAATATGTTGGATGTCGGAATATCCAACTTTGTAGACAATGTAAGTGTCGAGGACAAAAATCCTGGGTGAGGCCCAACATTGTCGATAGCGTGGTTGAGAACCCACTAGATGGCACATATGACATGTGTCATGAGAATGATGTTACATCATTAAACACCGTGATTGGTGTTGTTGGCTGCAAGATGTCAGGGCAAGAGCCCGAGTGACATGGGTGTTTTACGAGGTACTGACCCTGGAGGGCCGGGTGAAGTTACAAATGGATGTTGTCTTCGAGGACAACAAGGTGCAAGCACCTCATGACGAGGCATCGACCCAAGAGTGTAGGATGCGGGCAGCAAACAGAATGATGTTTATAACCTTGAGGTGTGTACGCCTGTGGATGCTGATGCGTCGGATGCTGAGAGTAGCGATGCTAACATCGTGAGTGACGGTGATATCGAGCAGCTATATACACTCGTCAATGGTTTGACTGGATGTTGAAGAGTCGGTGGATCTTTCAGCTATACCCGCAGTAAGTGCTCTGTTAGAGCTGGAAGGGTTGTCCTTTGCCGAGTTTGGCAATGCCTACAGGCAGGCGACATCACCGAAGTGGTCGTTATACGACCTGAAGAGGAGTTGAACTCCTCATCGCTTTTGGATAAAGCAGTTCTGGAGGATGCCAAGAAAGCGCTGAATGCGCGCAGTGGACCCCAGATCCTGAAGAACCCATCGGATCCTTATTTTACTTTTTTGAAAGAATGTGGAGATGTTGTCTCCAGAAAACCTCCTACGAGGTTACCTCCGGATATATATGTACGTCATGAGATTGACTTGGTTACAGGAACCAAATATTGTGTGACGTGACAGTGGCCGCTGCCACGAGAACAATGTGACGTCATTGGCGAGTTCTTTCGTGAAAAGCACGCGGCTGGCATGGTGCATGAGAGTAAACCTCCTCACTTTACGCTCACGTTTTTGTGAAGAAGCCTAATGGAAAGTGGCGAATAGTGCATGCTTATAATAAGCTGAATACAGCCACTACCCCGGCTCAAACACCGATTACTCGCAAGGATGTTCTTCAGAACAACATGTTGGGATGTACGATGTACAGTGCGCTCGACTTAGTCGATGGATATTCCCAACTGCTCATGCGAGCTAGTGATATCCCGCTGACAGCTGTCGGCACTCCAAGCAGTATGCTCTAGTAGTGGATAGTGATGCCCCAAGGGCTGTCTAACGCACCTGCAACGTTCAATCGTCTTGTGACGCACTTGCTCGACCCTATAGGGCGTATGCACAGACATACTTTAACGATATATTCGTCCATAGCCGATCCGAAAACGGCAAGACTGATATGGAGACTCACATCAAACACCTGCAAGCTATGCTTGGTAGCATGAGGATGCACAGGTTATATGCATATATTGACAAATGCATCTTCGGTGCGGAAGACATTTCCGTTTTGAGATGCTTCATTATAAAGCGAGGAATCTGGGCAGGCCTAATCCATAGTGGATTGGCCGGTTCTGAAAAACCAGAAGAACCTCCGTAAGTGGTTGGGTTTGGAATTTGCTTGCATAAGTATAGACACAACTATGCGGAAGTGGCTAGGCCACTGTCGGATCTCCTGAAAAAGGATGTGGAATGTTGTTGGAACACCGAGCACCACAAGGCTTTTGAAGCCGTTAAGGAGAATCTTCTTCAGGAACCAATTATGGCTTTGCCTGATCCTGATTGCCCGTTTAGCGTCGTGTGTGACGCTTCGGACTTTTCCATAGGCAGTGCACTCTTGCAAGTTGAAGTTGAGGGTCTCGAACGCGTCATTGCGTTCGAATCTTGCCAGCTGAAAGATGCAGAGAAAACTATCCAGCTCATGACAAGGAGCTACTTGCGATGAAGTATGCCCTTGTTAAGGTCGGGATACACCTGTTGGGCTCAAAGCCGTTTGTGATCTAAACAGATCATGCGTCATTACGCCCAGCGACACAGTCGCCTCATCTCTCGCAGAGAATGGCTCGTTGTCTCTCCTTTTTTGCGGAGTAAAACTTCGAGATGAAGTCAGGAAAACAGTACGTTTTGGCTGACGCGTTATCGCGTAGACCCGACTATGAGCTTGCTCATCTCACTGTTGTCATTTCGTCAGTAGCAAATCGTATCCGTGTGGCGTATGCACGCGATGAGGCATGTGTTGCCATTCTGCAGACGCTGAGTAGCGCAGAGTTTAAAAACGCTAAGGTGAAGCTATCACCACGTAATTTTGCGCGATTACATCGCTATGCACTGACTGATGGTCTGTTGTACTATAGTACAGAGTAGGATGACCAGTCTTGTGTTGTGGTGCCTCATGATGAGTACCTCAAGTATCAGATACTTTATGAGGCTCATGATACACCACTTGGTGGTCATTTAGGTCGTGAAAAGACCTACAGATCGGTGAGCACCCATTATTGGTGGCCCAAGTTGTATAAATGGTTGGTACGTACGTGTGAAACGTGTCAAAGGATGAAGCCTTTGCCTAATATGGCTGCGCCTTTGGCGAGTTTGCCTGTACCCTCGGGACTTGTGTTTTGGCCTACCGCGTGATGCGGCAGGCAACAATGAAAATGTGGTCTTTGTTGACCGGCTGATCAAGATGGATCATTTAGCGGCAGTGCCGGACTCCATTGATGGTGAAGAAGCAGATAGCTGTTCATCGACCGTTTGACTATACAACACGTATTGCCT